GAACTTTTTTTTTCTGAAATCAAAAGAGTATAATCCCATTACTATAAGCACCACGGAGGTGCAAAATTCATGTATAAAAATATTTACAAGTTAATCATCATCTCTATCAAATCATCAAAGTCCTCCATGGAGTATAGAAATTGACTCATTAAAGAAAAACCTAGGGTCTGAAATCATTTCGCTCTAATTTTATCAATATCCTCTTCTTTCCCATCGAACATCTTCCTATTTCTTTCTTTCCAAATAACCCAAAATATTGTCAACGATATGAGTCCCAATTGTTTTTTTCCAACTAGTGATGCCCTTCTATGCCCACATTTCATCTCTTATACTACCTCCCATAACCCTACTATATCCTAATATCCCCATGTGCTATTGTGTATAAACTATAAGCTATTGGGCATCGGAGTAGGATATGATCACAGGTCTTTTTTGCTGCATAAGTCACCATGACCTTTCCCCTTCTCCTCAACTTGTCTATGATTAGGATACATCCAGGGGTTGCTTTCCAAGCGAAAAAAAAGCGATCCTGGGAGGTACATTTACCTTCCCGATTTGCCTGACTGGGAAATTGCTTCCGGTATCCTAGTCTTTGGTTAAATGCCTATATAAAGAATCAACCATGGATTTCCCTTTTACAAGAATTTTTTTTTCTTTTTTTCACATAACTGAAACTATATCAATTCATATAACGTATTGCAACCATGGATTTCCCTTTTGCAAGATTTTTTTTTTCTTTTTTTCACATAACTGAAACTATATCAATTCATATAACGTATTGCCGTTAATTAGATTATGCACTATTCTTATCAGATATTAATCAGTTGCTCTGGACGTTCTAATTTTTTTTTATTGCAGTTGAATGAATCTTTTACCAGTATCCCTAATATGAGTTTTGCCCCTAACTCCTTTATGTTCTAGTTATTGTTCGATATGCATTTTCCTTGTCATTAGTTGCATCATTGATAAATCATGTGCATAATTTCTCCTTGAAAGGTAACCTTGAAGATATCTTCAAAGTAAAGTGAAGTTTGTGCCAAAGATCTTACTATTTACAAACATGTTTAGAGAAAAGTGAGGGTTGGAATAACCTTCTAGGAGCTCAGGAAACTTCAAATGCTCACACAATATAGCAAACACAAACCTAGGTGCTGTTGGTTCTGTTATTCAAATTACTGGAATATTATTTACTAAATTATAATTTTGAATTTATGCAATTTATAGAGTATCAAAATCTAACCAGAATTTTCATATAATTGAAACTATATTGATTCATATCACGTGTTGCTGTTAATTAGATTAGGCACTATTCTTATCAGTTATTAATCAGAGCTTCTCTAGACATTCTAATTTTTTTTTATTACAGTTGAATGAATCTTTTATCAGTATCCCTGATATGAACTTTGCCCCTAACTCTTTTATGTTTTAGTTATTGTTCAATATGCATTTTCCTTGTCATGGGTTGCATTATTTTTTATTTTTTGAGATAAAAAGTGTGAATATACATATATATAAATAGGATACCAACAGGGTACCACCCATATACAAATTTACAAAGTTATTAGGGTGTCAATAACATCTCCAAAATGCTCATCTCTAACGATGTCATGACCCAACACAATGTTACCAAAATAATTAAACCATACATCTCTTAGTCTATTAATCTCCCTTTACATACCATCAAATGCCCTCTTATTCCTTTCTTTCCAAATGGCCCAAAAAAAGGTTAAAGGGATGATTTTAACAATATTTTTTTTTCAGATCAATCCCACTCCAAGTCCAGATCTCATCAAAAACCGAATCAGAAATGACCCAATTGATTCCAATCAGTCTATAAATCTGGCACCATAACTCGTGGACCACCTCGTAGTGAAGAAGTAAGTGACAACAAGATTCCTCGGCCTTCTTGCACATGAAACACCCATTAACCACAATCTGGCCTCTAGTCTTCAGCTTATCAAGTGTCAATATACTTCCTCTTCAAGCCTCCCATGCAAAAAAAGCGATTTTAAGCAGGCCCCTGGAATTCCAGATTTGTCTTGAGGGGAAAAGGGGAATGTTTTCCTACCCAATTCCCACCAGCTGTTGATACAGCAAATCTGTAATACCTGGAATTAATTTTAAAAAAATTTAAAATTAATGTATAAAATATAATTTTTTTAATTTATGAATTTTTACTTAATGTAAAAATTAGAAAAAATAAATAGATTTGATGAAAACAATTTTGGAAAAAATGGGTGAAAATTTAAGTTATGCGGGTGTTTTTGAAAAGAAAAATCAGAAATTATGAATTAAAACGTAATTTAGAAAAAATGTGCCACGTAGGACTACTCAGTCAGCAGTTTCGACGAACCGGAACGTGCTGCGTGGTAAGGCATGCTGACGCGGTGCCACACAGGAAACCACGCTGGCAATCCGCGTGCCCGCAATCGGACTGTCCGGATCTGTTCCCTCCTCAGGCGCGATCATACGGTCCAAATCAAATTGCAATGAACGGTCCAGATTCATTTCCTATTTAAATGTGATCGAACGGTCGAGATTAAACGCGATGAACGACCCAAATTAAAGGGAGACGAATATAAATATCTCATTTCATACCAAATCCTAACCCTAGCGGCCAGTCCCCCGCTGGAGAAGAAGAAATAGTCGCGGGAAACGAGCCGTCCGCCGCCCGCCGCTGCACTGGAGTCATCTCCAATCGCTAAAAATGTATAAAAAAATTTTTATTCGCTCGAAATTTGATTTTGAACGCTCCTATGGCCAAATTAGAGTAAAAGAACCGGTGGATGAGCCGGAAACTGCGGGTAAAGCCTGGTGGCGCCACCGCGGAAAAAATAAAAAAAACAGCCTCCGATGAAACCCTTTCCGATTCCGGTTTCGTGCGATTTTTTCACCATTATATTCACCATTCTGTTTCTCACAGGTTGGCCAAAAAAAATGTCCAACCACGAAGGTGAGCCGGCGGAGTCGCCGCACTAGAAAATCCCGCCACCAGTAAGCTTCTATTTTTCGATTTTTTTCGGCTAATCGATGCCCTTTAACGTATTTTCTCATAGAGATGAGTATAAAATCGACCAAAATCAATCAAAATTGACCGAAAACGGCCAGTTCGAGGCAAACCGCCGCTGTGGGCGGTCGTGCCGATGCCGGAACAAGCGGTGTCGCCGTGCTGGAATTCCGAAATTGGCTGGAAGAAGGTTTTAACATCGGTTTTGGGTTTTTTAGGGTATTCCTAGGTACTTAGAGTGTGTTTTAATTTCCGAAGAAAAATTCAGAAAAGTCGGGGACTGCCAATAGGGGCAGCTGAAAGTTTAGCATTCAGACACCGATTCGGATAAGAATCCCTCACCCTCTTCCTTGTTATGGAATTGAAGTTTAATTATAAATAATGTAGTATTTTGTACAATTTAGAAAATTTTGATAATTAATCACAGGTTACTAATAGAGTCGGAACTGGTAAATTATTCACTGTTTATCCTGTTTGATTGATTTAACAGTTTTAAATGCATGACAATACGTTGGAGTTAGTAAAATGATTCAGTTGTGTTTCCTTAATGCATATATTGCTTGTTTTGCGTGATTTACAGTTAAATTGTAAAACTAGAATTAAATGTAAACGGAGAATTGTTTGATTAAGTGAATGAATGAATGGTAGCCTTACTGGATATTATGCGAGATGGTGGACGGATTGAGTGCATAGGAAACCTTACCGTGAACGTTGACTCATACCAGATAGGGTATCGAGAATTGGTATTTTAACACTCATACAGGACGGAGTACGGGAAAGACCCGTTTCACCCTCATACTGGACAGGGCATTGAGGGATGGTATTTTTGGCGTTCGTATCGGACGGGGTATGGGGACGGCCGGTTAGTTGACAATATTGAATAAGGGTTCACGTGTAGTGGGGATATCCCTATGAACCCCCATGGATACCAGTAAGCAAATAAAAAGGGAAAACTGTTGTTCTGGTTAATTGAATATGAGATTATGATATTGTTGTGCTATTGTCTCTATAGGTTGATTTTAGAAATTTCGTTACGGTAAGTGTTCAATGGATGATTTCACTTATGATAAATTAATTTACTTAAATTAAGAGTTTCATGAGTTGTTTTCATGATTTTTACCAACCTTTATTTCTGTATCGGTGAGTAGTATGACATTTTTAGTGGGTTAGTGTAGCTCACTTTTTCATTAATCATTTCAGATCAAGAGTATCAATATATAGATCCCGATCCACAAGAGGGTTACGAATAGGATGCCTAATTGTTTACT